GTGACCTCACCCCTTGGCCCGGCGGGGCCTGTTCCTCTCCCTCTTGGGCATGGCAGCCCCGCCCCCTCACTCCTGGGCAGCGGCTATGGCTCCATCCCTCTGGCTCACACGAAACGAGCAGCCCCATACTCCAGAACCAAATTGGTGAAGGCCTGGCTCTTTGAAACCTAGGGGGCTGTGAGCCTTCCACCCCCAAAGGCCGTGGTCCTACCCTTTCAGGCTGAGGCAGCTCTGCCTGCTTTCCTTAGTCTCCGCTTCTGCCGATTAATGCCGAAGGCAACACACTCCACTGGAAAACCCTGCTCAAAAAGCACTCGGGTTTCTTGCTCCATGGGCCGGCCAACATGCTACTCCATTTCATGCTCATCTTTTCTACCAGTTAATGCCTGAAGGCAACCCACTCCGCCAGGAAGCCACCTAACCAAAGGCATCAAGCTTTCTCCTCCGTGGGCTGGTAAGGCTGTCGCTGTCTCACGCCGGTCTCTTGCTCTGCTCCTGCCGTCTCTCATGCCATATGCTGGGGTCTCTCTGCCAGGATCTCGGGTCAAGGACACACTCCACTCCTGTTTCCACATTTTAGGTATCAGAACAGCACCCCACTCTCTCGGTACCAAATGCTGTTCTGGTTACCTAGTGCTGCTCTGACAGGAATAGGTGCCATCGAGTCCACCCCAACTCATAGCGACTCTGTGTCCAACAGAACAAAGCACAGCTGGTCCTACGCCAGCCTCACAGTCTTTGCTGTGCCTGAGCTCGTTGTTGCAGCCACTGTGTCCGTCCACTGCAGTGGATTGTGGTGGTCTTTGCCCTCTACTTCACGGAGCATGGCTTCCTTCTCCAGGAACTCTTCCTTCCTGAGCACCTCCCAAGTACGTGAGACGAATCCACCGTCCTCACATGCAAGGAGCGCCTGGCTGTGGTTCCGGGATTCGCGTGTTCTTCCGGCAGTCTGCGGTGCATTCCGTACTCACCAGCCCCGTCATTCAAAGGCAGCAGTTCTTCTTTGGTCTTCCTGTTTATCGCCAAGTTTCAAAAGTACATAGACTATGAATCACAAGTTATAGGCGGGGTTAGCTTATTCCCAACAAGAAATTATTTTAGTCATAATAACCAAGGAAGTTTTCCTTCCATGATGACAGTAAAGTCAGTGAGCTATAGCGGGCTAGGTGGTGACCTGCAGAGATGGGTTCGTGTTCCTAGGACCCTTGAGTGTGGCCTTATTCAGAAACATGGTCTTTGCAGATATGATCAAATTAATGATTTTGAGTTAAGATCTCCCTAAATTATCTACTTTCTCCCTGGATTATCTACTCAGGTGGCCCTAAATCCTACACCGAGTGTCCTTCTAAGAGAAGGAAAAGGGAGATTTGAGACAGGATTTGAGTCAGAGGAGACTCCATGTGACGACGGACGGACAGACTGAGTGACAGTACCACAAGCCCAGGAATGCCCTGGGGCTGACAGCAGCTGGGCAGGCAGGGACGGACCCTCCCGAGAGCCTGCCCAGGGAACACAGCCCCGCTGACCCCGACTTCCCTAACGGTGACAAGGAAATGCTTGGTGCTGTGAGGCAGCCAGTCCGTGGCCCTTTGTCACAGCAGCCCCAGGAAAGTCACTCGTCCAGAAAACGCTGTAGCACGTCATGCAGAGGACGTCAGAAGGTGCATGGATTGGACGGACCGGGTGGCGCATGTAGGCCTGGCTCCAATGGGTGGAGGCTGGCCCACGTAGGGCGTGGTTTCGCAGGGGCCGGGGAGCAGGGCACGTTGCTTGCAATGGTTCGCGCTCGTGTGTCCCTACATCCTAGATTTTGTTTTCTAGGGGAAAATGCTGCGTTTCTGTGCAGAGATGAAGGTCCTTGATTTAACTTGGAGGTCTGAAGTGTTAGATCTGGATGTGCAACATGACGTGGAGGTTCAGGGTTCTGACATGCTCGTGGACCCGGAATGGTGGAGGTTCAGGGTTCTGACACACAGGTCTGTGGACGCAGAATGAAGGAGGTTCAAGGTTCTGACGTGCCCATCTGTGGACCAAGTGAGGGAGGTTCAGGCTTCTGATGCGCACATCTGCAGAAGCAGAATGAAACTGTGATCGGGCCTCAGAAAAGTGATTTCACGTCAAGTAACCTAAAAGCTTACACCTTTCTCCCTCCCCAGAAGTGTGGCTTTTGCCCTGCTGGGGTGACAGCAGTGTTGTGGGGAGGTGGTACTGAAAGACGGGTGTCTAGGGCGGTCGTGGATTCTTCAGAAGATTGGGCTGAAGTGGGGGGTGAGGGCTGCTCTTCAGAGCACATGCCACACAGGTGTGACATGGAGCAGGCAGACATCCCCTGTCATGTGTGTGCTCCTACGATCCGTAGCTGTCTGGGTGTGCCCCTGTGCATTCATACCAAGTCCTGTGCCCCTGGATGACCCTGCAATGGCTGCAGGGACACGTGGCAGTTTGGCAAGAGGAGCAGGCACAGTGGGCACCACGTGTCATCAGTAGGACCCGCCGATGGCAGGGGCTGGCCTGTCTGGAGCTGCCCTAGCCAGCATCCTCCTCGTCTCGCCTCCGTCTTCCTCTGTGGTCCATGGGAAGCCTGGTCTCTGCCTGTGGTGGAGGAGCTGCTGGGTAGCAGGTGGCAAACTTGCTGCTGCCAGAGTCTCTCTGTGCTGTCACTGATGGGGACTTCACATGCCCTCGCTGTGAGGGAAGCTCCAGGAACGGGGTGCTCTGGGGGGCCTCTCTAGGGACCGTGCACTCCGGGAGCTGCTCTGGGAGCCCCACATACCAGGGGCTGCTCCAGGGGCCACTCTGGGGGATGCTCTCAGGTCGTGCTGCATGCAGCCTTTGGGCAGGTGGGCAGCTCATTGGCTGAGGGCCGAGCAGATGGGGCAGCCCCTGGAGAGAGTGTGGAAGGAGACGTTTATCCCTCTGATGAACGATGATGCGGTCACCCATTGAAAACAACAGTCACTCCACACCACGGCACTGGAAGTTGGTTACAACACGCGGCGTAAGGATGTCAGTGCACCGGTCTGTGTCTCACCATTCTAACTTTTTAAGTGGAATTCATGCCTGTGTGTAAAGACCTGAAAGACACGCAGACTGGTGGCCACGGTTGTCTCTGTGCCGCGGGATCTGTCTCCCCCACGTGCTTTCACGAGCTCTCCCAGCTCTTGACGCCTTCCCTGTGTGCATTCCTCACAGGCCTGCACCCCAGCCCCGGCACCGATCACACACCTGTACACACGCCAGAAGCCCCTCAGGGTAGGAGGGAGCCTTCACTTTTCATGGAAGGGTTTAAACTAGGCAGGATTGGTGAGCTCTGCTCTCTCCTATTCAGGTCGGCAAGCCCTTGCTGGTGCCAGACAGGAGGTGAGGGGCGCACCAGGAGCTTGTGTCCTGGACTGAGACGGCCCTGCTTTGGAATCTGTGTGGTCACTGAAGTGCCAATGAGACTGTCTTCATCTCTGTGTCCTTTCTGGAGCCTTCCCCGCCCCTTGTCTGGCCTGGCTGACGACGGGCCGCAGAGCATGAAGCACTCTTGTGCAGGTCCCCTGGTGGCTGCACTGGCCTGAGATTCAGTGACTGAAGATGATGAGGTTGTGTCCAGAGCTCTTGGGAGAGTACACACGTGTTGCTGCAGGAACAAGTGCAGGGTGCATCCCCTCCCTGAGTCACTGGGGGTGCAGGCTGGGTTCCCAGGCTTCCTGAGAAGAGCCCGGTCATCCTGGGGCTGCTCTTAGGTATGGCCTGTGCTGTCCAGCATTTGATGCCCTCATCGGGGCTGGCAGCTGCCCACACGGCCTGACCCACAGCCTAGCACTGGGGGCTGGGCAGTCCCATAGGTTCATGAGCCCGGGCTCCTGGGATGGCCTCCCAGAGACCCCAGGGCAGCAAGACAGGAGAAGGCCTGGGTGTCAGATCACCCTGGTGTCCTCATTTCCTCTCCAGCATCCTGAGCCTGGTTATGTAGTGAGAGGAGGTCCTCAGCTATGTCACGAAGTGTGACGTGAGCAGCCACCATGGCTGATGTTTGAGGGCTCGGTGCCTGGGCAGGTCTGAAGGGCCGATGGCCTGGCATCTTGCCAGCATTTGTTGCAGCTGCCTGCCCGGCCAGGACCCTCAGTGGCTCTTGGGCTTGGGGACAGATGCCCTGGTTGTGGGTGTCTGTGCACCCCAGGATGTGGATGGCACAAGGGTTCTCTGGAAAGCCATATCCCAGGTGCCGGTGACACAGCAGCCCCTGCGGGAAGGATGGGAGGCCAGCCAGAGCATCTCACGCCATCTTGGCTACTCCAGAAAACATTGGGGTGGCCAGTTGTGGGAAGTGTCTGGGCCCTGTGCTCTCAGGCCCAAGGGGGTGAGCGTGGCGTGCAGGTGCTGAGCACAGACGGGCTGCTTGGCTGAGCTGCAATCCATGAAATCTCAAATCCCTCTTGACTTGCTACCAAGAGACCACCTGCCTGGACTGTGGGATGAGCTGCCTCATCAGTGGGGCTGAGGCTGCATCTGGGCGTGGGATGTGGTCCCACATGAGGCTGCAGAGAGGCCCCCTTGGAGCCCATAGACCCTTCAGGGACATTGAGAGATGGAGTGATAAGCCATGCCACCTGGCCGAGTACCCCTTCAGAACTTCTGGATGGACCCTCTGACCAATGCCTCCTGGCCAGCACAGGTCCTGTGGGCGTTTAGGCTGCAAGGCTGCTAGCATTTGGCGTCGCCCTGGTGTTCGGAACAGCCGCTCTGTCCACGCTGCTCCTGCTGCAGGGAGGATTGTGGGTAGGAGGGTTGCATGGGAGCTGGGGGACAGGGTGGAGCTGGGCCATGGAAATCGTCTTTATCTGAGCTGCTCGCCCTGCAGGTGGTGTGGCACCCCCATGCAGTCAGCTGTGGAGGACAAAACTTCTGGCTCCAAGGCCACTGGTGAGGAGGTGCCGGCACCTCCAGGGCCGGGCGGGGCACAGCACAGTGCAATGGGCGTGTGGTGACGGCCTGTGTTCTCCATCTTTCAGTGAATGAGTTCACTGTGATCAGGAAGAAGTTCAAGTGTCCGTACTGCAGCTTCTCAGCCATGCACCAGTGCATCCTGAAGCGGCATATGCGCTCACACACGGGTGAGCGTCCATACCCCTGTGACATCTGCGGCAAGAAGTTCACGCGACGTGAGCACATGAAGCGACACACACTGGTGAGCAGGCCAGGCGTGTGTGAGTGTCTGTGTGCGCACCTGTGTGTGAGTGTGTGCATGCAGGGATACATATGTGTGCTGGTGTGTGTGTACATGTATGCATGCAGGGATAGATGTGCATGCATGCACATGTGTGTGAGTGTGTGCTTGCAGGGATGAATCTGTGTGCTAGTGTGTATATGTGTGTGCGTGCAGGGATGTGTGCGCATGTGTGCGCATGTGTGGGTGTGTGCGTGCAGTGATGCATTTGAGTGTGAGTGCATGTATGTGCACATGTGTGTATATGCAGGGGTGCGTGTATGTGCATGCATATGTGTGTGAATGTGCATACATGGATGCATCTGTGTGTGAGTGTGTGTGCATGTGTATGGTACAGCAGAGATGCGTCTGTGTGTACATGTGTGTGCAAGTGTGTGTATGTGCATGTGTGCAGAGATGCATTGTGCACACAAGTGTACATGTGCAGGGATGCATCTGTGCAAGTATGTGTCTCTGTGTGTGCAAACATGTGCACACCAGTACATGCATGCAGAGATGCATGTGTACATGCACGCGTGTGTGCATGCAGGGGTGTATCTGTGTGCAAGTGTGTGTGCACATGTGTGCACTGGTTATGTCTACATGTCTGTGTGTGTTATGTCTGTGAACACATGTGAGTGCACACAGGATATGTCCGTATGCACTTGTGCATGTGTGCAGGCAGGGGTGTGTGTGTACATGCACATGTGCATGTGTACATGTGTGTGCATGTGTATTGGACACACTCATACCCTGGGAGCCCTGGGGAAGGCTGAAGGCAGGTGTGGCCCCCACCGACGCCCCCCGCCTGAATCTGTTCCTGGTTCCCTGACAGCCTCAGGATCTGCCCTCCTCTCGCCCTCCTCATCCCCGTTGTTGACCCTTTGCCCCACCCTTGAGCCTGGCCACACTCCTGCACTCCAGGCCCCAGGCCTGCTCTACAGTGACCCCAGCCCTGTCACTGTCTCTGTCCCTCATGCCAGCCTGCTCTGGCCAGGTGTCTGTCCCCAAACTGAGTCTTGCTTAGCATGACTAGCGGGGTCTTGGGAGTGGATTCCTTTGGCCAGGAGAAGACAGTAGGAAAGGCACTCCTTTGCTGGGCCTCGGTGCAGGAGAGTGGTCGGCCGGAACATCAGGTGGGGCAGTGCCAGGAATATAGTGGCCCTCAGAGGCTGGCTCGAGGTGGCCAGGACTTGGGGTGACCAGGGGCTCGGGGTGGCTGGGGGCTCGGGTGGGGTGAGGATCCGCCTGAAGGCTGTGAGCAGGACCTGTGCTGTGTGTGGGGTAGCAGGCCCTGCGGGGCGCCTGGGCTCACAGCTTAGACAGAGGGTGCTGGGGGTGGCAGTGGGTACAGAGTAGTAGGGTCTCTTGTTGACGGAGGAGCTGGATGTGTGTGGACCGGGGCGGGGGTGTATCCCTGTAGCTTGCTTGAAGGAGCAGAGCCCTCAGGAGCTAAGAAAGGAGGCATAGGTCCCCAGGACCCTAAGGGTGGGACAAGAAGGAAGGTCCCTGGGGGGCAGGGTGCCCAAGTTCCTGGGGGCAGGGCTAGGGAGGCAAGACCCTCACTGCTAATGTGGCAACCCCATGGGACAGAGCAGAACTGTCCCATAGGGTTCCTTGGCCGGAATCCAATTGCCTGGTCTTTTCCTCGAGAAATTGCTGGGTGGGTTTGAACCACTGACCTTCCGGTTAGCAGCTGAGCCCTTAGCCATTGCAGCACGAGGTCTCCTTTATAGACTTGGAGGGATGATGCCATCCTGCCTATACCGCTCCTGTCCCAAAAGAGCTAGGTCTGGTGTCCCTACACGAGGGAGTTTGAGGAGCAGCTGCTTAGACCAGAAGAAGTGACTCAGTCACTTTTTAAAACTAAGGACGAATCTTTATTAAATTCCTAAAACATTTAAATAATTTTCAGTGAGATGCACATTGAACATGTTTTTATTGTAAAACATACATGATATAAAACTTGCCATTTCAGCCGTTTCCACATGTACGACCCAGTTGTGACATTAAGGACACTCGGCACGCCGCACAGCTGTCCCCATGCTGTCTCCAGCCCGAAGCTTGGTGCCCAGCAGTGCTCCCCTCTCCCTGCCCCCCTGCTGCCCGCAGTAAATGTCTCTCCGCGTGCCGGCCTGCTCTAGGTGTTCCACATGATGGGATCACACAGTATGTGGCTCTGTATGTGGACTTCATTCTTTGTGGCTCACCACCTGCAAAGATCGTGTACTGGGTGCTGTCACCTGCCAGTGGCACAAGGCGATCCCTCTCTGGTCTTGGTCTGTGTCTGATCCCAGGGTACTGGCCTGGAGCTCGCTCACCTTGCACAGGCCTCTGAGCTGGGCTCATCCCTGAAAGCTGCGTTCAGAATTCATGAGGCATTTCCTGGGGAGGGGCCTGTGCTTTCCCTGCTAGTGTCTCCTCTCACAGGCCCCCTGAGTTACCTTCTCCTTGGCTGGCTGCTCTCCAAGAACAAGGATGGAGGCTGAGGGAGGAGGGACTGCTGCAGTGGTAGTGGCCGCAGCCCACGCTCCTAAGACCATCAAGGGCTGATTCGATGGTTGCCATGACACCAGCATCCTTTCTGCTTGCTCCTCCCGGAGCGTTTGTCCATTCGGACTCGTGCCCAGCCATCTGGTCCAAGCCACAAGATACCCAGCATGCCTGAGACGTCTTCCTGGTGCCTGAGTATTCAGGCACAGCCCCCACTTCCCCGCTCCCTCCATAGCCACTTCCTCACTCTGGAACCCTGGCCAAGGGTGGCTCCAGTGCTCAGCGGCCCCCAGCAGCCTGACTGTGCCAGCTGGTCATCGAGGTCATTCTGTTAGGGGTACAGTCCTGGCTATGATTGGCCTGGAATTCTTTTCTTCTGTTGAGTGAAGACAGTGGTGTCACTAGGGTTGGTGGCACTTGTACAGAAATTCATGGTGTCACCCCCCCATGGACCTCCTCCCATTCCAGACTATAGAGAATCCTTATTGTTGTTGTTGTTATGTGCTGTCGAGTCGGACCCAACTCATAGCGACCCCTCCTTGGGTTTCTGAGGCAGTATCACTACAGAAGTAGATTGCCCAACTTTCCTTCCAAGGAGTGGCTGGTGGGTTTGAACCGCCAGCCGTCTGGTTAGCAGGCAAGTGCCTTAGTCACTCCACCACCAGAGCTCCTACAGAGACTCGTTAGTCATATCTGTTGTGATTTTAATCATAGAATAATATGTAATCAATATAGTTATAAATTGTTAAAATGTACTACTTCTTAGATTATATGAATACTATCAACAAAATTGTTTTGTAAAATCTTCCTACATGAATTACAACATTCAGATACAACATTATTTGTAACTGAGCAAAGCCTTTTTTAATTTTTCTCCTTCTTTTCCTTTAATTATTACTTATTTCTCAATAACAGTTCTTGACATAGGTTCACAAACACCACTTACCACAATGCTATAGCTAAAACACCAGGAACTTTGACAGAATCAGTGAGTATGAAAACGCTAGCAGTAATGAGAGCAACGTGTGTGCTTGCAGCATGTGTGGACAAAGCCATGTGATTGGCACATCGCTGTAACTGGGTGACAATGACAGCTCTGACCAGAGGGTGTGGGAAGATCCAGAAGTGGATTAGAGTAGCATTTTAGGCTTGTATTTACATGGGTACATGTAAGTTGCACTTACGGGACTCTGGTGGCGCAGTGTATAAGGCATTTGGCTGCGAACCAGAAGGTCAGTGGTTCAAACCTACCAGCCACTCCGTGGAAGGAAGATGGGGCAGTCTATTTCTCTAAAGATTTATAGCCTTGAATACCCAATGGGGGTCGCTATGAGTTGGAATCAACTTGATGGCAGTGAGCCTGATTTTTTTTTTTTAAGGCTGGGCTTAAGAGAAAAGTTTTTGTTATAACTAACTACAGGGTTATTTTTGTTAAAAAAAGAATGAGTTTCTGCTGAAACGCTGCACAAACGCTATAGACAGCCGTTTTGGTGTCACCCGCTGACAGTCACCCCGTGCAGTCCGCTCCCCCTTGTGACACCACTGACGGAGGGGAGAGCCCTGTGTGCTGATATCCACCAGTATCCCCACAGAGGCAGGGTGTGAGTCTCCAGAACCCCATCTGGCTTCCAAGGAAGCGCTGGGGCAGTCCCTGGACAGGCTGCTGCCTAGGCCCCACAGACGACTTACCAGCTTGAAGGTTGCGCCTCCATTCCTGCCCCTGACCCCTGACCCGTCCTCTCTTGGGCTTGCTTTGAACTCGACTGACCACTGGGAAGTTAACAGCCAAATTACTGTCTTCAGGGTTCAGACTTCTGTGACTTTGCAATGTTCCTGTTTCCAAGGAGGGAGGGCGGAACGTTCAGGGTCTGGGGGTTGCCGGAGGGGAGCTGAGACCTTTCCTGGTCCTCCTCCCACCCCCCACATGGGCCTCCATCCTCCCCGGGGCTTCTCCCCCAAGAAGGACTTTCCATTCCCCCCATCCACTGGGCTGACCACCCCTCCCCATCTCCGCAGGTGCACAGCAAAGACAAGAAGTACGTGTGCAAAGTGTGCAACCGTGTCTTCATGTCGGCAGCCAGTGTGGGCATCAAGCACGGCTCGCGGCGCCACGGCGTGTGTGCCGACTGTGTGGGTCGCGGCGTGGCTGGGCCCCTGGACCACGGCGGTGGTGGCGAGGGCTCCCCGGAACCACTGTTCCCCGGGGACGGGCCCTATCTGGAGGACCTTGACGACCCCCGTGGGGAGGGTGAGGAAGAGCTGGATGAGGACGGGGGCCTGGCCCCAGAGGACGTGCTGCTTGGGGATGACAAGGATGAGGAAGACTCCCCGCCGGGGCCCCGCAGCCCTGCTGGGGAGCCCGAGGAGGACTTGCCCTGGGTGTCCTAGGCCGGGGACAGGGGCATGGCGGCCACCTTGTCATGTGCCCGCGGCCTGGCCTGGAGCAGTGCCATGGGGCGGCCCCTCTCCCAGCCCTCCTTCAGCCCACCTGCCTGCCTGCCCCAGACACATAGATGGAGCCGGCCACTCAGAAGATGGGCCCAGGGGTCCGCTGCTCTGTGGGGGTAGGGGTGCCCAGGACACTTCAAGAAAAAGGGAAAGTGAACTCCCTCCAGGGCCTCGCACCCTCCCCATCCGTCTGTCTGTCCACCTGCCCATGCCCATCCGTGGGGACAGACGAGAGTTCCCAGCAGCTGCGTGGCATGGGAGCCAGCCAGTGGGGGCCTTTCTGCTTTAGTGTCAGGTTTTCCGAATAGTCAGGAAGCCTGGGCCCGATCACTGGAGGCCTGTGGCCGGGGCTGACCTGAGGCTGCGGCCCAGGTAGGTTCTGAGGGAGTTTGCACAGCTGGGAGTAGAGCGTCCAGCCGGCCGCCTCCTCTTCCTCCCAGCACCTGGTGCTCACAGGGCAGGTCCTGATGGAGGGGAAGGCCAGCCTCCCCCTCTGGGCTCTGGTGCTCAGTAGAAACGCTGCAGAAACCTTGGGCTGGGCTCCTCGGTGCTATCGTCCCCCAAGAGGCCGTGGCTGGGGACCCTGGCCTCTGCCACCCTCTGCTGCGTGCACTTCCGTGGGGGGCCCAGCAGTTCGGGCCACCTGCCCGGCTGCACCCATGACTGTCAGTGGTGGCTGCTCCTGCTGACAGCCGTGGGTGGGACGGGCCGCTTCTGCCTTGTTGCTGCTGCACTGCCTCCGCCTGCTGCTCACCCCTCCCACGTGGGTCACCAGATGGTGAAGTCACTGTAATGAGGTCATTTCCCTGGCACCGTTCCCCTCCTTGACGCACAGCTTGCTGTCAGGGCCTCTTGCTGTATTTCTTGTATTTTTCCGAGTTCACGGCTTCACCCCCACAGTGGTCTTTTCCTTCTTCTTTCTTGGTTTTCTGAGTGAAAAGCAAAGGCCTCGCCCTGTGCACCCCACACTGGTGGCCCCCCGGCCTGAGCACCCAGGGGTGGGCTGCTGGACAGACTCCCCACACAGGACAGCCTCTAGGACGTTTTAGCCCTCCCCCACGCCCTTTCTGACACGTCAGTTATGATGATGCTCACCCCTCCCCACCTGGCCCCGAACAAAGCCCCTGCTGCCAGCAGCTGGGGCTTCAGGCAGCCGGGCTCACAGTGCACCCTTGGGGCCACCTGAGCCGAGGCTCCCTGGGGTGCTGGGCAGAGCGACACTGCTTCTTTCTGCAGGCTTTACAGACCACACAGATTACAGCTCTTCTCTGGAAAAAGAAACCTCGCTCCAGCCAGGAGTTACCCCCGCAAACTCGAGCCCCAGCCTCCTGGCCGCCCACTAGGGAGAATCCATGACTTTTTTTGGCTATAATCCGCGACTGTTTCCGCGACTGTTGCGGTCAAGTCAGAGAGGGTGCTCTTGGCAGAGCCTGGATGGCCTACATACACATCTCTCAGCGGGGTCCCCAGCGGAAAGGGACCAGGCTTTCACTAACCACAGTTGATGCCTGTCCTCTTGGGCTGCCCCCAGGGCATTTGGGGGAATGAGTCCCCACTCTCCGGTGGTGCTCCCGGCCACTTTGCGGGGCTCTCAGAACTCCGTACCTTGCCCCCACGCCTTTTTTAACCTCTTTTCTAGCAGACTGACTTTCTTAAAAAATGTATTTGACAACTAGACCTTTGTACCAACAAGTGTCTCCTGGCCACGTGCCAGTCCCCATCTCAGCCCCTGGCCCTGGCCAGCCCACCTCCCGCCAAGGGCACCTCACCCTCACTCTCAGGAGGTCTTGCTCTGACCGCTGCTCTCTGCGCCACCCTCCCTGCCTTTTTGGGGTCCGCTGTTGGTGCCACAGGGCGTCTTCTTAAAACCAATACTGTACCAGAATATTGAGAGTCCTAGACCCCCACCTACCAATTCCCCCAAAAGTGCTCTCTCCAGTTGCAGGCCCCCGATTCTTACACGCCATTCTGATAGGAAGAGCGTTGGATTCCCAAGACCAAGACGGACAGGTCTCAGGAGGCATGAGGGGAAAAAGACAAGAAATGAAGGGTTTTTTTATGTGATTTTTTTTTAAATCAATGTTTAAACTAATAAATATTTTTTTATGAAGAGGAAAATGTGTAGATTACATTTCACATTTTGTAGTTTTCAGTTTGTGTCTGTTTGTATTCTGGTGTTTGCAACACCAAAGTGGGAAATACAGTCCACTGGGGGGGTGTGAGCTCTGGGGGGCCTCTGACTTTTGTACTAAGCTCTGGATCCTAACCAGGTTGTATACTTGGACTCTGAGTTTTGGGAGTCAGAACACTGCCATGATTCATTAGGGACCTCGGCTCAAAAGATAAAACACAAGTTTGCACAGCTTCCTTTTTAAAAAAGAAAACTCAAGAAAATGCAAACACTGGGTGTTTTGCAGTCTTCCGAGACTCTTGTTTAGGTCACTCTGTGACATGTGCGACTCTCAAGAAAGCCATGCTCTGTGGTGTTTTACTCTGAGGCCCTGAGGTGTGTTCTGTGCCTTTTGCTTAGAGCGACTTGTGACAGGTGCCACTTTGTTCTTCCTATTTATTTTTTCAACATGCTTTCAACCTGTCAACAAAAAACAGACAAAAAAAAAAAAAGGCAGTGTTTGAAGACTGTTGATTCTTTTCTGGGAATAATCTATATTGTATCAACTTTATATTCACGATTATGAACCTGTGTTTGTATTGGAGACGTGTTTAGTATTTCTGGAGAGATCCTTCGTACCCAGTCGGGAACATGACTGTTGCCCTGCTTCTCTGTAACCACAGGACAGGTGAGCGTTTCCCTCCTGGTAGTGGGTCTCGAGGTTTCCCTGCCTGTGGGTCTCCTTTCTGTGACGGGATTAGCTTAGACCTTCTTGCAAAAGCGACTGGTTTCAATAAATGGGGAGACTGCTGCTCAATGCCTGTGTGTGTGTCACAGCCTGACAGGACCCCGAGTGAAGGGGCCCAGGGAAGCCCAGCAAGGGCCGAGGGAGCCCCCCAGGCCCCGGCAGCTCGTGCCAGCTCGTGCCAGCTCCTGAGGTGCCAGCCACCCTCACCCGCCGCAGGGTCCCACTTCACTTCCCACCAGGAGGCAAACGCGGCTTCTGGAAAAAACCCCGATCTTTAATTTTTCTCCTCGCCTGGTGCAGCCCAGACGGGGACACCTGAGCTTGAGGGTGCAGTACCAACGCCACCTGGGGCTCTCGGACCCTCACGGTAAGTGCAGTGGTCCCCAGGCACCCCTCAAAGTGCATAAAGGCTGGCCTGGGACAGCCTGGGGCCCCATCGACATCCTGGCAGGTCCAGGGCCCACAGGCAGGGCAGTGTCTACAGGGACCCTGCAGCAAGGGGGTGGCGTGTGGTTTGACTTTAGTGCAAAAAGCTGGTTTCCTCAGAGGCACTTTTGAGTGGTCAGGACCCCTCCATTCTGGGGGCCCAGGGTCACAACTCCCCCAGGTAGGAAAGAGACCTGCCCCTGGGGGTTGGGCCTGTCCTCTTCCAGGCTGTGCAGCCCTGGGGTGGGGGCAGGAGCTTATGCTCCCCCTTCAGGAGGGGGCAGGCGCAGCTCAGTCCAGGAACCGCTGGCAGGCTTTCTTCCAGCGGCACGCCACGCACCACAGCTCCCGCCGGTCCATGCCATACACCTTCCTGCACTTCTTGGCATCACCGCGGGGCTTCCTGGGTAGCACCGTGGAGGGGTTGGGATGTTGTAGGGCTCTCCCCACCCACCCCCTGCCTTGACCCTACACACGCGCGCGCGCGCGCGCGCGCGCACACACACACGTACCTGGGGTTGGCAGTGAATTTGGTGGGCAGGGCTGGCGAGAAACAGGCCCTGACAGTGGGGGCCTGTGGCTCCAGGTGGATGGGTGCCAGGCAACCCTGGGGGGAGACACAACCGTGGCCTCGCTCCCCTGCAGAACGAGCACCCCGAGATCTAACCCCAGCCTCCCACCCGGTCCTCAGCACCTGGTAGGCGTGGTCACTGTGGATTCGGCACACGGAGCTCAGCATCCGGGGCGGCGGCAGGGCTGAGGGCTCTGGCACCTCCAGGGGGGGAAAGGCAGGAGGCATGGAGGCCGTGAGGGACACTGGGGCGAGGCTGGATAACCCGTCAGTCAACATGTCCACGCCAATGTCTAGCTCTGTGTAGTAGAAGTCCTCCTCCCCGTCACTGTGCTCAGGTTCTGCCTGGCGCCTGCGGACGTACAGGTGAGGCAGCGGCACCCCTTCCGGCCCCTGCCCGCCCCCAGGTGCACCACTGGATGTCGCTGCGCCCTGGAGGCCCCGCCCCCTCCCCGGGCCCCGCCCCTCCCCGGGCCCCGCCCCTCCGCACCCCAGGTGCACCACGCGGATGTGTCTCTGCATCCCGGAGGCTGAGCTCAGCACCTTCCCGCAGCTCTTCCACAGACACTGGAACATGACCTGGGTCGAGTTCTGGGGGCACAGGGTCCGGTGGTCAGGCCTGGCGCCGGTGTCCCCACCCTGGGCTCCGCCCCCAAGCTCACCTTCCTCTTCCTCTGGGCGGGCTCCCCGAACAGGAAGTGGGCTGCCTCGAGGGGCAGCGGGGGCGACGGAGTGGACGGGGAGGACGGGTCGCTGGCCAGGTCCCAGTCTCCGCTGTTGTTGCTACTGCTGTAGCTGCCCGCTGGCCGGCCCAGCGCCTCTTTCCAAGGCTCCAAGCCAGGCTCTGCAGGGAGAGCCGGCTCAGGGCTCCTGCGGGCTCTCCGCCAGCCCCCTAACCCCTGGAGCCTCCATCCTCTGTCCACTTGATCTTGGTGGGCAAGACCACAGGGACGGGGAAGCAGGGTGGTGGAGAGGAACCAGCCAGGGGGAGGTGGGCTTGGCGCTCCTGAGGCTCTGGGGTCCGTTTTAGAAGAGCTGTGTTCGAAAGGTGGTCCCACATGGCAAAGTTCTGCTGCCCAGTCCTGGGGGAACACAGGTCCCGAGGCCTGCCCCACCTGCACCCTCAGCACCACCTGTCACACTCACCTGAACTAAAGGCCGCAGCTGGGGTCCCCAGCAGGAGGGGGCTGGTGGACAGGCTTGTGAGGGCCGCTGCAGCCATGACCTCATCCAGCCTCGCTCTTCCTGGAGGAGGTCTGCAGGAGAGGGCGCAGCCCGGTCGGGGGCTCAGCAGGTGCTCCAGGCCCCTCCCCTGGACGGCGCGCGCGCGCACACGTGTAGGCCCCAGCACGTGTGTCCACCCAGGCTCCCTCACTCCGGCAGCTGGGCTCGAAGCCCAGCTCCTCCCCTGCTCCAGTTTCAGAGCCACCAGCCACCTCCAATAGCCAAGAGCAGGGCAGGGCTGGGGTCTCCTGAAGCGGCGGTTTTCTGCAGGCTCTGCCCAGGTGGCTCCTCAGGCCTGGGTGCGGGGCAGGGGTCTGAGGCCAAGAGTCAGGCGACGTCAGACTGGGCCCAGCCCCCCACCACACATTAACCAGGGTTGAGCAACTGCCGCGGCGGGCACAGCGCCAGGCTGGGAGGGCGGGGCGGCTAACAGTCACAGCGGCCAGGGGGAGGACGAGCTCCAAGCCCCGGCGGGACTCAGGCCCCAGAGGACCCGAGCACTGCTAGCCGCAGCCAGCCCGCGGGGCCTAGGTACAGGAGGGTGCAGGGCGAGGCTGCTGGCAGCTGGCACAGGGCTCCGCGCAGTGCCTCTTGCAGACTGACACCCAGTGCACACAGCAGCTCTGCGCTCCGGTCTGCGGGAGCAGGGGCACATGACCCTGTCGGCGAGCCTTCCCGCCACCTCCCCCGGCGCTGCACGGGCGGAGGGCCCCGACCTGCGCTCCCCGAGGCCCTCTGCGCACGGCCCGGGACGCACCGGCCCACGCCCCACCCACCGCCCTTGCACGCCCCGGCGCACGTGTGCGCACGCCCCCGGCACCAGCGC